ACCTATAACATTCAAATAACAGAACTTAACCAAAAAAGGGGGGATACAGATGAATGTCCATTTTGTATCTGTGTATTCAAAGTGGTTAGGATAGGTACATTCCATAGTTACATTCTCTTAATGAATAGAGGGATTTGTTCTAATGGTGTTTGACTGTGCCCCCACTCACTGGAACCTCCTCCATCAGAAGGCCTGGTGTGGAACCCTGCAACAGAACTCCCAGCAGAAAGCCTAGTGGAAAGACCCACCTAACTAATCCAGGAGCAGACCATATTGAAAAAGGAGCAAAGCAGGATGAAATCCATAGGATGCGGCAGGAAAAAGCAGAGCCTAGCAGCCACACACAAGCCAAAACCACCTGGACGAGTTCCACCTTGGTAGATCCAGACTCTGTAAGCTAAGACACTTTGCTAGACTTAGTCAGACCTATGAGAGCATCCACTCTTTCACTCTTGATTAAGAGAGGGACAACAGGTAATAAGGTGAATTAACCTGCCTGGAAGACTCCAGGTACATCAAGGAGAGGTGATCAGACAGAACTTAGGGTAACCAATTTAAATACAATTTGCCAATTGAATATCTGCTTAGCTAAACAGTTATAATGTTTGCTCTTATGGTTTAAAATACAAACCCACTAGTTACAAAGTTTTTCAACTGCTAAATCTCACTACCTATTATTACTCTTGCTAATTGTAGTTTCTGTAAATAAAAAATTGTAACTGCCTTAATCAATAATCATATATTGTAATAATATTGGTAAGTACTAAGGTAATAACTGCACCAAAGCTCTACACCAAAGGTGAGAGGACAGTGCTATACAAAATGACAAAGAGAAGGAGAAAAATGCATTCTTAGGCTCCAAGGCCATAGAGAATAAATGTAGGAGACACAAGCATACAAGAAATAGGTAATCACACAACTGAAATTTCTGAAATAATACCATCTGAAGTAAAGGAACAACTGCAGAAAGGTATAGAGGAAATTAGATCAGAAATAATCTCTGAAGTAAAAAATGATAACTATAATGAAAGAATTACTAAGTGCTTTTAAAGAAAACATTTTTTAAAAAAGAGG